TGTATCTTTAAGAAGAGTCTAAAGGGGCTTCAATTCAATGAATGTGTCAGTTTATGAGGACAACGCATCCTGATCCATGTCACCCCTCCCATCCTTCTCCCAGGATGATTTAATATCAGAATGTCCGAGAGGAACACATAGATCTTGTCTTTAGGGCTGTGTGCACATCTGGGGGAAATACTCCACGCATGGGGGGAAAAAGTGAAATATTCTCACAAAAGTTGATCGTGGTTCATTTCAGAGTTGGAACAAGTGTCCCAAGGTGGAAGAGGCCCCAGTAGAAGAGGGGGGACACAGAAACACATCCCCCCCCAAGGTTCTCCCACAGTTACAGGTGCAGTTTTTTATTTCCTTTAAAGATGTGCTGTGGTGGGCTTAGAGTACAGAGTGAGCCTGGAGCCTTCCACGCTGCTGCGTCATCTTTCTTCCTACTGGTGCTGCCCAGCACACACTGAGTCTGCTTTCTGAAAATCCCATGACTCAGTGTGCTCCCTTGCTCCTCCCCTGCCCTGTCTCCTGTTAACCCCAAGTCAAATGACGCCTTTAGCGAGGCACCAGTGGCTCACGCCTGTCATCCTAGCTACTCAGGAGGCTGAGATCTGAGGATCAAAGTTCAAACTCAGTGTGGACAAAAAAGCTTCAGATACCCTTATCTCCAATTAACTACTAGAAAGCCAGAAGCAGAGGTGTAGTTCAGAGCACCAGCCTTGAGTGAAAGAGCCAAGTGAGCCTGTGAGGCCAGGTTTAAGCCCCAGCACTCACAGACATGTACACACACACACACACACATGCACACACGCACACACACCCCCTACAGGCACACACATGCATACATATGCACACACATGCACACATATGCACACACATGCACACATATGCACACACATGCACATGCACACACGTACACTCACACACATGCCATATGCACACCCCCACACACACTCCACACACATGTACACACATGCACACACACATACACACACACACCTTTTTGTAGAGAAGGAATCAAGAATCTTTTTTAGTTAGCTTTAAATAGTTGTATAAAGGGGTTCAATTCATCATGTCAGTTTATAGATACAATGCACCCTGATCCAGGTGCCTCCTGCTTCTCCACCCCTCCCAACCTCACCCCTCAGTCACCCCATTCCTCCACCCCTCCCAGTTACCTCTCACCCATCCAAGGACCCTTCATCCATGAGAACCATTGCTTCATATTTTCACTCTAAGAAATTATTTTGAGAACCAAATCTCCGTTCACTGTTCACATCCCTTAGTTTGTCCCTTGCTTCTTCTGTTGGATGACATCTTCTTGAAAAGGATGGTGGTGCCTCTCTTAGAAGTGCTAAGCAAACTTCCAAAAAAGAAGACCAGGCTCTGAGTATTGTTCTCTCACTGAGATAACATCTCTCGCCCAAACAGCATTGCTTTAAATTATTTATCTTTTGCCAGTCTTGGGGCTTGAACTCAGGGCCTGGGCATTGTCCTGAGCTTCTTTTGCTCAAGACTGGCTCTCTACCACTGGAGCCACAACACCACTTCTGGATTTTTCTGTGCATGTGGTACTGAGGAATCGAGTCCAGGGCTTCATGCATGCTAGGCAAGCACTCTACCACTGAGCCACCTTCCCAGCCCAAGCATCACTTTTAAAAATCAGACAATCACTTGTTCTGGCTTGGAGTCCAGCCCAAGGATGGGGCTTTGCATGAGATCTCTCCCCACGTGGTCCCTCTTGACCTCCCCTTGTCTTCTTTGGCTTCATAAAGGCCCCACTTAAAATAGAGCACTCATCTGGAGATTGGGTTTTGCTGTTGCTCCTATTTATCATGTGGTTTTGGATAAGGTACTGTTGTTCTAGTAACTGCAGTTTCACCAGGAATAAAAGGAATGAGAGAACCAGAGGTAAGCTAAAGCTAAGAACCATCACCAAATCATTCTTACAACTTCCTTCACGCTTAGGGACTCCTAGACAATGTGTCACACAGGGGTGGGGTCCCACTGGTTACTATCTCACTGTGGGTCCTTCTCCCTCTTTTAGCCTAACATGACACAACCAAAGAACTGGAGCTGGACCCCCATAATCATCCAGAGAAATGTTTGCTTCTATCATGGAATCTCCTCCTTGCCACTAGAAAAATATATTCAACATACATGACAGGTCAGGGGTGAACGGACTGTGCTTCAAAAACGTTTTGAACACAATTGCCATCTAGGTTGGTTTTTTTTTTCCTGTAAAATTCTTCTTTAAGTGAATAAATGTGTAGGGCAACTCTCCATTACCTTGATCAGCGTCTAATACCAACCTGACACTTAGAATTAAATTAGAGAAACAAAATTGGATACTTTTGAGACTTGAGGGCTGATTATCTTACTGGAGCTAAGGGTGGATTTAAACTCTTCCCTTATCCCATTTAAATCTAACTAGGTGTAAGCTCTCCATTACTGAGGAGTGGAGGTGTGTGCACAGACGGGGAGGTTCCCCTTGATGTCCTCACACGGAGAAACATAATACTTTTTTTCTGACACACATGGTTGCAATAGAAACCGTTCTTCAGCTGCCAGTCTGGTTTTAATCTGTTGCTTCTAGCAAGAGAGGATTTGCAGAGAATGTTAAGAAGAGAGCAAAATTACCTGAACTTACTATAAAAGTGTTGATGAGGATTCAAGTTTTGAATGAACGCTCAGAATCGTAAGCATGGACATATGTTCTAAAACAGTGCAAGGTATTAAGTGAAGGACTATAAAAGTTTTTGTCTTTAATATAGATAAAGACTGCTTTTAAGATAACACTTCTAACTCATTCTACTCAAATTCTTTAGCTTACCCAGATGATAGGAAGGGTCAAATCTTGTTATTGAACACAGTAATGTGCCACTTAAACAATCCTTTTGGAAGATGAGTTATTTCACTGGTGCATTTTCCCCACAATCAAGCTTACCACTGTAGAATATAAAATTTAAAATAGCAGCTGCATTTCAAAACTGTAACAGTTTTTGTTCTTTCACAATGCAGACTAATACAATCTTTCAGAAGACTCATGATTACTATTATTAAAAGAAAAATACGCTGAAGAACTGCATACTGCCTGTTAGAAAATGTATAAGAAGATAGTGGCTTCTTTGTCATGTTTCTCCTCAGTACTATTGTAAAAAGGATGTAAGGAGCTGATTCTTAACAGGTCATGGTTTTCTCTTCTGCCATTTATTTGTTCTTACAATGTGTGTCTACCTAAGTTGCATAATTGGTTAAAATCAATTTTTGATTTAAAAGATGCACTTACTCAGTGCAAGGGGCTGTTCTATAAGCTAAGAGAAGTGTGAAGAATTACGTAATTTGTATACAACTTAAAACCTGCATGGTCCTTCTCTAGGAAACAATCCAGCCAAGGAACAACACTCAAAGGCCACTCAATGACCACCCTGGTGTGAAAAAACACCATTTAATTCTCTCAGTGCCTTAAAGTTTGCAATTAATTGTATTTAAAAATCATATTGAGGTGATGAGAAGTGTTCTGATGAACCTTTTTTAGTGGAACTGTGTCAAGGACATATCTCCTATGAGGAGCTGCTTGGGGAAACCAATGGGACACACCTTTGCTTCAGATGCACTGGTCCAGCTGCATACCAGTTCTTTTGCTTTTCAGAATTGGCTTTTGACATCTGGGCTTTGAGCTTGGTGGCAGGCACTCTCCCATTTGAACCGCGTCTCTGGCTTCATGCTAGGTATTATCTTGCATTTTGGATGTCTGTCCTGTTATACTAACTCTCTGGGTCATAAGAGTCTGGTTGAAAACGCTTTGTTTGCGTAGGAGCAGTAAACACCGCCTTTTACAGTGGACACTGCATTCTCCTTCCCCTGGAAAGCTATACTCCTTTGGCCTCAGGAATCAACACTCTGGGCTGCACACTATTTCAGTTTTGGGCCACTTTACCACTGTCATCTGAGCCCTTTTAGCCCACAAAGTCTTTCTGGTGGTCCCATAGGTTTCCTTGGCTACCACTGCCATGTTTTGTCGTCCAAACCTCTCTCTCCCACCTCCACTCAGGTATATATCTAATGGGCATCCCATTTGGAAGCCACAAAAACAAAACCCAACTCGATTTCCTTTGCTTTCCCTCCTTATGTATAATTCTATTTCTGCTTACTTCCATTCACCTCAGTTGTGCGCCAACATCACCGATATTTTTGTACTCGGGAGAAATTGTGTGGTTTTTGTACATTTCAGTTAATAGTAGACTTCTTTCATCTCCACCATCTCGACCTAATTTCCAATATGCGCTCCTTGGACCAATGTAATGTAGAAAGCGAAGGAATTGTGATAAATCCTTTTCGCTTATCTTTTACCAAAGGTTTCTCTCGCTCTCTCTTTGAGGTGGTAATGGGGTTTGAACTCGTGGCCCCATCTAGAAGGCAGGCAGGCAGGCATTCTGTAGTTTAACCACACGTGCAGCCTGCTTTCTTTTTAAGTGATTTTTCAGCGTCTTGTCCAGGGGAGCGTCGCAACACGGACCCGACCTACCCAGATATGTCCTGCATAGCTAGGACCAGAGAAGTGCACACCGCCACGCTTGGGCCGGGGTGGACACGGGGAGCTCGCTCACTCTTGGCAGGGCTGGGCTTTAAATCACAGCCTCAGCCTCCTGGGGTCAGAGGTGTGTGACGCGGCGCCCGGGTGGAGCTTCCAAGCGGCAACAGGACGGACAGGCAGGGCTGCACTGGGCTCTCAACCTGTGGACACGGGGCCAGCCCTTCCCCCCCGAAGCGCGGGCCCGCCAGACTCGCCAGCCCGCCCGTCGCGGATGTTGTCTGCGGCCCAGCGGGCTATACGTACACAGCCTGTTTTCTTTTCACCTTTGCGGAAAGATATCTTTGGGGGGGGGGGGGGGAGGAAAATAATGGTAATGTAAAAAGAAAGAAAACCTGCACCGAGATGGCGAATGGAGAGAAGGCAAAGCGCGGCCGCACCCAGGCTCCCCGCGTCTGGGAAGTGATAACGCGCGCACGCGCAGCAAGCGAAAGGCGGGACCCAGAGCCCCGCTGACGTCATCGGAGGCCAGACGGCTCCGCCCCTCTCAACATGGCGCTGCACTCAAGGCGGAAGGCTCCAGGATGCTGGCGCTTCATCCGGGCACTTCACAAAGGGCCCGAAGCTGCTGCAGTCCCCCAGGTAAGAGAAGCCGGCCCTTCTCCCGGTGGCTTCCCGTCCCGCGAGCTCGTCCTCACCCCCGTCCCTCCCTTCGTGTCTCTCCTCCTGCTTCCTTGAGAGAGCTGTCCCTCCCGAGGTCTGATCGTCTTTGATTGACCTCTTACCCCGGAGTGCGGTGGGGACGTTGTGCGTGATGACGTCCAAGGAGCGCGCTCCGGGTATCTGTTTCCGGGTCAGCGCGGTTGCTGGGCAACGCGGGGCGCCGCTCCCGGGCGCTGGCTGGGTCATTTTCCCTCCTTCCCCTCACGGCCCGCGGAGGGCGAGCAGGGGCGTTGCAGGGGCGGAGCGGTCGGGTCCGGCGGTCCGGGCCTTCCCCGAGGTCATGACCACACGGGCGGGGGAGTCAGACTCGGGCCCTGGGGCTTTCCCGAAGGTTTCCCCGGTGCTGTTTCCCGGTGCGCCCTTGGGCGGGACCGGCCCGGGTCGGTGGCTTCTGCGGCCCAGCGGGGAGGAGACCCAGCGCGGTGGAGAAGGCGGCCCTGCGGCCCAACGCAGGGGGGAGGCAGGGGAGGGCGGGGGGAGGCCCAGCGCAGAGGGGAGGCCCTGCGGCTCCTCTGTGGGCTCGGGACACCGTGCTTATTCGTGGTGGTGGATGCGGGGCTTGCCACACCGGGTTCCGAGGGCCAGGGCCTTTTCCGCCATGCTAGCTGTGTTATACGACAGGTCACAAACTCTCTGGGCTTCCTGCCTGTAGCAGGCTACGTGGAAAGAGTGTAATTTTAGCACGCAGTGTGCTTTCAAACTTCGGGAAATTTACAACCCCGTGATTAGGAAGGCAGAGTAGCCAGTGAGAGTGTTGGAGAGCCAAAATGTAAGTGTCACTGATTTCCCAGCCATCCCATCAAGGACTAGCTTTTCTGGACTTATTCATGTGATTCTCACAAGTTTGGTTTGTGTGTGTGTGTGTGTTTCTTGCCAGTATTGGGATTTGAAGTGAGGGCCTTGTGAATATGTGTGTTCTACTACTGGAGCCATGCCCTAGACTCCCCTACCCCCCCCCCCCCCTTTTTTTTAAGAGTCCTTTTTTAAGCCCTTATCCTAGACTGACATCTTCCTATATTGGCTTTTCCCATAGCTAAGATGACAGGTGCCAGGATCTAACCCTTGTTTTATTGGTTGAAATGAGATCTCCTGAACTTTTTGCCCAGGTTGGTCTCAACTTTGATCCTCTCTGCCTTGGACTCCCATGAAGTAGGATTTCAGGCATGAGCCATCTCATCGGGCTCTCACAGCATAAAGTGCAATATTCCAGAAGTCTCTTGCTCAACATACAGCTATTCAAATGCTATTTTACATTTAAAGAAATAATGTTAGATAAGAATTGACTCCAATTTATATCATCAAATACTCTGAAGCTTATAGGTTTGATTCTTGAAAACCAGAATTACATTTATAGAATAGCATATTAAAGTATGAACTACCAAAATGATTAAGCCTTAAACACATACTTCATTTCAAAGAATTCCTGATGCCAGAATACACAATAAGACAATAAAGAAACAGAAAAACCAAAGTAGAGCCCGCTAATGACTGCCCAGGGATGATTGCAACACTAAATCACTATAAATGGGGGAAAAATCATTATAATGAAAAAAATTCCTAAATCTCTAGTGTTCAATGGCATATATGAATGCTATTTTTTTGTTTTAAGTTATTTTTAAAGTTGAACTTCAAATGTCATTGGTTATTGTAGATTGTTTAAAGGATTTCTAGAATTTCAAGGATTTCTAGAATGGGTTACTATTTCAAAATCCAAAATTTAGCTCCTAGTAGAGTAAGAATTACACGTGAAATTCTTGTGTGTGTGCACGCACATACATGCATGCCAGTGCCAGTGCTGGGGCTTGAATTCAGGGCTTCACAGTCTTGCTTGGCATTTTCGTTCAAGGATTGCATTCTGCTGTTTGAACCATATACCTTTACTTCTGACTTTTTGCTGGTTAACTGGAGATTAAAAAGTCTCTTGGATTTGTATTCTGGGGCTGGCTTCTAACCATGATCCTCAGATCTCATCCTCCTAAGTAGCTAATATTACAGAGGTGAGCCACCAGCACCCAACTGTGAGACTTCCCCCCACCCCCAGGTATAAAATTCCATACTCTTTTAGTCATTAAAATGAAGGCTTGAAAGACTAATAAATTCTTATTAAAGATTTAGAGAAAAGGATATAAAAATGTATGATTGATGATTACAATATTATTTATTTATTTATATACACAGGAAACAAAGCCTGGAATGAAAGAACTATTCTTTTTTGTGGGACTTTGTATTTTCTAAGTTGCGGATTAAAAGCAATTTAAGTTTTCTTTGAGCATTATTTTTCACAAGTTTTAAATAGAAGATATATCACTTTTATAACCAGTAAAAAAGAAATCATAAATCTCCATACAAACCTGAAGTCATTGATATTATTTGTGGCATTTTAGGTCTCTGCAAGAGATACTTGTCCTATATTGCTATTATTAAAATGACCTTAGAAGGACTACTAAAAATTTATGGCCATTTTTCCTATATGTATCTTCTCTTTCTCTTGAAAAGCTTCCTTTGAAGTCAAAGGGATTTTGTGAACAGATGCAGAAATATGTGAAGGAAGAATTAGATTCCTACTCCAGATGCATTAGACATTTTTATGATATCTCATAACCTTTGTAGAACACAAAAATTATTTTATAAGAATGTATTAAAATAGAAAGAAATGTATATTTATCATATGGATGATTTTTATCATAACCAAGAAATAGCTGAAGTTTCTTGTTACTGGTTCTGGCTGTGTACTTGGCCTCTGAGGCGAAAGGAAAAGTGGAAGGAGTGGATGAACCAGAGCAAGTCTCTGTTAGGAGCTGTGACTGATAGAGAACTTAATGCCCATGTTGTTTTAATGCTTGCAAGATTTCTTTTTTTAATCATTGGGAATCCTTAGTTATCTCAGATGCTGTGTTTTGCCCCTCAAGGTTAGTTGTAAACTTAAGATCAAAATAGAGAAAGTTTTAGGGGTGTATTCCAGTGGTAGAGCACTTGTGTGGGGTGGGGAGGCCCTTGGTGCAATCTGGTTGAGAAGGGCAGGAACCGGCATGGCAAGACTTCACATTATACTCATTGTGGATGTCTGCAATTTGTGTGAAGCTGGTTTATTTTGCCAGGTGTTGTTTGACAGAAAACTGTTGAAGTCTGATGAGATGCGAGTAGTCACAGAGTCAAAGGAATGAAAGTCTGAGATGTTATTGTTTAAATGCTGATAGTATTAAGTAAATTTAAGCCTGTCATCATTGACTAAAATACAGAATTCAGGATTGTATCGCACAAAGAGTGAAATAGTGTTGGTCAGACTTCTGCAAGGATATTTAGCAAGAATATTTATTGTTACACAGTTGAATGTAAAAATGTGGACACTTCAATGCAGTTGAACAACATGCTTCATTATTCACCACTCAGCATAGGTTTGGCTAATATTATGTTCTATTTCTGCTGCTAATAATCACTAAGATAGACACTAGATGAAAGAATAATAAATATAGTAAATAAACAATAGTGGCCATTGTATTAAGTTTTTAATCCTGTATATAGTTTTCAGTAGAAGAGTTTTTAATGTTTTATTTTCAGATAACTTCAAAATTATGAAATTAGTCCAGGGAATTTGTATGTAACCTCACCAAATGTTGTCCTATGGATTCATAACTGAGTTATCAAAACCAATAATTGGGGCTGGGGATATAGCTCACTGATAGAGCACTTGCCTACAATATATGAGGCCCTAGGTTTCATTCCTAGTACTGCAACAACAAAAATATGTGTGTAGTACTGTTAGTATTGTAGAATTAGTTCACATTGCACGAGTTTTTCGTCTATCCACTTTCCTGTGTAGCATTAAAGCCAGAATATCACATTCCATTCAGTTACTGTGTGTTCTCCAATTTATGATGTTTTTTCTGTGTGTGTGTGTGTGTGTGTGTGTGTGTGTGTGCCCACATGCATGCTGGTATAGTGGCTTGAACTTGGGGCCTAGGCACCATCCCTTAGCTTTTTCACTCATGGTTAGCATTCTATTACTTGAGCCATAGCTCTACTTCTAGCTTCCTTTTGATGGTTTTTTGTTGTTGTTGTTGGTCGTGGGGCTTGAACTCTGGGCCTGGCCACTGTCCCTATGCTCTTCAGCTCAAGGCGGGTGCCCTACCACCTAAGCCACAGCACCACTTCCGGTTTTCTAGTCATTTACTGGAAATAAGAGTCTCATGGTCTTTCCTGCCCAGATGGATTTGAACCGTGATCCCCAAATCTCAGCCTCCTGAGTAGCTAGGATTACAGGCATGTAATCCACCGGCGCCTGGCTTGTTGGTTGTTGGTTTGTTTGTTTGTTTTCCCTCACATAAGGCTGGCACTCTACCATTGACACACCTCTGCTGTGTATGCATGTTGTAACTTAACATGTAATGTGCAATTTATCTTCAGCTACATATGCACATGAAATAATAGCTCACCCCACTAGCCCTTTTCTTCTGTCTCTCTTCCTTTCTGTCCACTTATTTCCATACACCATTCTGGTGTTGGTGTACAGAGACATGCTATGTGTTCATTCTCAAATGCCGCATGTCGCCTGACCTCCAGCCAACTTACCAGCAAAAAGCCAGAAGTGGAGCTGTGACTCAAGTAGTAGAGCACCACCATTGAGGAAACAAGCTAAGGGACAGCACTCAGGCCCTGAGTTCAAGCCCTAGGATCAGTGCTCAGGTACGCGCACGCACGCACACACACACAACACACACACTCACACACAAAATGGAGTCTAAACTCAGGTATTCTTATTCTGAATCCTGTACACTAACGATCAAATAGTGGTAAGTTCTGAAACAAATTAGATATGTTACTATGATGACCACCCTGCAACTTTTTTTTTTTGGTTTCTTGTAAGGTTTAATAAAAATTTTTTATTGTGAAAATACCATACAGAGGGGTTACAATTACAT